CCGAGAATACTTACCTACCCTACAGGCACGTCAGAAATGGATACTCAGAGAAAGAAACTTTCGGGTTGGTGACATTGTACTGCTTGCAGATGAATGGCCCCTAGCGATCATCAAAGAATGCCTCCCGGACGACGACGGACTCGTGCGCCCGGTTAAGGTGAGAACGGCAACCGGCGAAACCCTGCGAGATGTCCGCTGAATCTGCTTCCTGAAGGGAGGAGAAACAGAGTCGACCGGGAACCCAAGTAGCTGAGGAATCCTCCGGGTTGGTGAGGGAGGCACTGTGAGTCATGGAGAACGGCTTATGGTTAACCTCCTGAGCCACCCGTGAGAGAGCGAGGGAGGCGCTGTCAGTCATGGAGAACGACTTATGGCTAACCTCCTGAGCTGGCAGAGACGGAGAGGACGACGAGAGGCGCGATGGAATGGCACAAGACTGTAGGGACTAGGTAGTTAAGGTGAGAATTGGTACTCCCTTGAATTTCCCTTTGGCTGTGTGACGTCAGGAAGGATTTTGCCAGGCGATGTATTGATCGATCTGTGAAAATCCTTCCTGTAAAGCCCAGTCAATCTATCTCGGTTCCACATTTCGTGAATTTCACGTTCCATTCACTCAACATCATCCGCCTCACATATACATAAACATTTGACATTCCACTCTCTCTGTATATTTACACATCGATCCTACCATTTGAATTTATTTGTTTTTCTGCCTCATTCCTACTTTTTGAGGTACTTTGGGGTTCGTAGATATTCATTTGCTTATTTGATCGTCTATTAATGGAGTACCTCTTCTACGGGTGGTCATTCACTTTACTTCCTTTGATTGAAAATAAAATATCATTACAATTTTTAGAGAGGAGGAAACACACAAGAAATCGGGAAACACCCATCCTCTTTCGAGGCGATAATTTCCTGACGTTACCACTCGGCTACTATTATCACTTCCGCGACGAACAACTTTATTAAGCGATTTGTTGCCTCACCAAGGGTGATGTGTAAGGTTGCTTTGGTAAGGTTCTAGGGGGTTCAAATTCATATAATCGAAAACATCACAGTTGGACGAGCAACGAGAACCATTTCCTATAGCGACACGGAATGTATGTTATAACGCGAAAGACTATTCTGTCAGGGTGTCTAGAGAATGAGCCGCAGGCACCAGTAAATAAATACTTCGAGGCTGCAAGAGTCTTCCACAGTTACGGACCGGGTTTCGTAATCAAGAAAGTGGATGCGGCGTTTAAAAGACTGATAAACTCATCGTTTTTTCTGAAATGAACACGAGTGTTAGCGGTAGAAAAATCTACTTCACGATTTGCATTTGCTTTTGTGTTTCATCTCATTGTTGCGAAGCTTTATTCTGAGCCCGAAAGCAACAAAGAATTACGATCAGTTTTACACTCCATTGATGGTCAATGGAATATATGTTGGTCTTGGGGTCACAGTTCACTTAGCAGGTTGCGATAGAGATCCGTTAACCGGTCTTACGTTACCCGAATTCAGCTAAGCTTGGAAAGGGAATGTTTGAAAATTGGGTGGATAGGAAAATTGAACTGAACTGAAGTTGGATAGAAACACCTTAGCAGGTACCAGAGATTAAACTGAAAGCACGGGACCCATCGCCATAAGGCTGAGTCACAATTATTGTTTTGGTGGAATACGATTAGTTCAACCGCGACTATTTCGAACTCTTTGATTCTGAAGAGTGCAACTTATCATATTGAATCTATTGGTTCTCAGAAGTAAACAAAACAATTCCTTTCCGACTGCTGAATTTTTAAATGATTTCGAATAATTTTCCACAGAACTTAATCGATACCCTACCAGGACAAAATCTAACTCGGCCGAGCTAAATACGCATATTGTATCAACTAAAGAAGAGACCTATGAAGAGCAAGATGAATATTTTAGCAATGACGATAGCCATTAACCATATCTCAGCAGTTCCCAGGTAATGATTTATTAACGATTTTACGAAACAGCAGTATAAACCGATCGGAAAGGGTGATTTCGGTACTGTAAGCCTATTTGAATTATTAAATCATACTGTTTAAATTCAGGAGTTTTTCATTTGCTAATCAATTCGCTATGCGGATCATTCTTTCCGTAAATTTGGTCCATTATGGCAAACTGCGTCTGATATGGACAGAGACACAATCGTGGTGAACGAAAAACCCAGCGAATACATCATCGGAATTCGCAACAACCTTTTGCTCGATCGCAATTTGTACGAAAATGCTGAACGAGAGAGAAACCTCCTACCTGAGATGCAACAGATGATAGGAAAATTTAAACTCAACGTCAGATATCACTGTTGGGTTCACTCGATAGATGCACACAACCCTGATGATTTCACAATTTCGATTCGAACTACTGAATCACACACAAGTAGGCACAATATCAAACTGCTATTTTTGACACAAACGGTGTGAACCACATACCAGATTCGTATTCACTATCCTGCACATTCTCCACTTCACCATTTTCGTCCTGTTCAACCTCAACATGAGGATCCTGAGCTTCATCTTCTGATGATTCCTTATTCTGCTTCCACTCCACGTTGTCCACTAGATGATGGTGGTGGTGGTGCGGGACGTAGGTGAACGGATCGCCTTGGTTGACCTCATCGGACGAGGACTGTTTGACCATATGTTCAGCTGCATCCATTGCATGCAACAGGCGCATCATTTCACGCTCCGTTTGTTCCAGGCGAACGCGCAGAGTGGATAATTCCTCGTTATCCACTGAGCGATTAAGGACAATGAGGGGAAGGGTGAATCAGGGAAAGAATACATTATTCGTGCCATTTCCTCGGTTTTGAGAAGCGAGGTTTGGTGTACGAAACCTTTTTAGTACAGATTATTTTTCTGCAATGTCGTAAATGGGTAAACCTCCAATCATAATAATACTCGATGCGCTTCTGTACCTGGATTTGAACTTCGACTTCGTGAAACCCAAATTTATCCAGGATAAGGTGATTGAACGACGCCAATTGCCTTTGGCGAATCTCCTGAACATTGATCAAAATGTTAGTGCCCATTGAAAGCGTGGGATAAACCAGACAGACAGTAACTTGAGCGATGCTCCGGAATAGGTTAGTGAACAAAGATCACAATCCTGATAATCCAATTGCAATATTTGTTTATCGATCACGGAAACAGGGGAACGCCACACAGTCAAGTGCTATTGGAGGTGAAGCGGAGGAAACCACTTGGTTGGCGGGACATAGGAATGATTGGATGCTAGACTGCGATAAAATACATAGATCAAGGAAATTCACCTAGGATTTATTTCAGGATTCAAGTAAAAACGGAACGTGCAGACAATTTCTGAGAAGGTCAAGAGACATCTTTTATCTACTACACTTTATTGAAAAATGAGGAGCACCAAAGAGGCGAATATAATTAAATGTTCGTTGGTATAGTAAGCGGTACAAACAGCAGTATCGTAGTGATGCAGTGAAGCGCGAGTAAAGCTCAAAAATAACTGCGTTGAATATTTTTCCCCTCATATCCATTCATCCACTTACTCAATTACTCATATGGTATTTGGTACGGTTTGAAACCACGAATAGTATTGCCCACTCAACGACCAGTGACCGAAAAACCACCTACCGCTTCACTACGCGTGTGTTAAGCAAAATCATACGATTCCATTTGCACTTTCGCTCTCTCATGACTTATATTTAAACCTGGTATTGTGCGATTACATCATCCCTTTAAATGCTGCTTGGTTATCGACAGGTTTGTACGATCTCTTTCACTTCCTTTAATTAAACATACAATAGTATTTTTAGGAAAAAGAATATATATATTCCGTACCGGCTTGAGAACAAGCATGGTGCCAATGCAAAACAATGATAATGAAGTTATGAAGGGGTAGAGAAAGATTAAATGAAAATGGGGAAAATAGGGAGAAAAAATGTATGATTGATTTTTTTTGATAACTTCACCGTACACTTTTTGAAGATTTTTGTGTTATGAGGAACTTGGTTTCGCCAAACAAAAACGCACAGCAATCGCAACACTCACGTCTTCTCTGAGCCATATCTCTCAGCGTCTCCAACAATCGACAACCATCATCCCTTGAGCCCCCGCCTGGAAGGCGAGCTGCACCAACCGAAGCCAATACTGAGGCTAACTTCTTCATACTACTACGCCATGTCATGGCCTGGACGCCGCGAAACTTCTTCCAACCTTGCCCAGCACATGCAAACAGAGCACGACGGGATAGCCGATGGGCAGGCATACGCAAAACATAACCGAGCCATCGTAGAACGATTTCTTTCGTTAGAGAACGACTATCAGCACCCAGTACACGATGATGAATTTCGTCATTGCTCACCTGATGTTCCCACCAGACACGAGCAATGCTTCCAAGGCATCGCAGGTCGAATTCTGGAAATCGATTAACATCCCCCGCTCGGAGAGGCCAGGTCTCGCAGTCGTAAAGCGGAACACTACGGACCGCGGCGATGCACACCCTTCCCTTAAGGGACAGTCGGATGTCACGGAGGCGCCACAGGTGCCGGAGGTTGGCGAAAGCTGCTCTAGCTTTCGCTATTCGTCATGTGATCTCATTCCCCAAACCACCTCCAGCTGTGATTAAGCTCCCGAGGTACTTCAAGCTCCCGACCATTCCCAGCTGATCACCACAGAGGGTGAGTGCAGGCACAGGCTCCTGCCGGTCTTGAACCAGCACTTTGCACTTTGATGGTGCAAAGGACATACCATACCTGTATACCACTATCGCTAAGTGGTGTAAAGCTTGTTGGATTGCCTGTGCATTGTCACCCAACAAGACGATGCCATCGGCATATTCTAAGTCGAGAACTCTGTTCCTTGGGCGGAGTTCAACTTGACCGTTTCCTAAATCGGACAAAGCGTCCTGCAGAACATACTCTATAGCGAACTGGAAAAGGAAAGGGGATATAGGACAGTCTGGTCGAACTCCACTGGAGACGGTGAAAGGTCGAGGCAGTTCAGTTCAGTTGTTACAACCATTACCATGAATTTTTCGTGCGCCGGTTTTGGTTGCCCATTTGGATAAAATAGCGAAATGAAGATTGGAATGTCGA